GCCGACCCACCGAACTACCGCGCAGCAGTCAACGGAAGAGATGCCGTCGGATGGATGAAGCATGCAAGCACGAATTGAATCGCTCGTTGCTAAAACGCAGTGTTCAGGAGTGGGTCGATCCCCCGCGCGACGCTCAGATCGTTCCGTCCAAGTACCTTTCCAAATGGAAGCGCAGCGATGGAAAGGTACTTGGACGGAATGATCTGAGCGTCGCGCGAGGGATCGACCCACTCCTAAAAATCGCGCTCAAGCAACGAGCGATTTTCTATTTCCATGCTTTTCATCCATCCGACGGCATCTCTTCCGTTGACTGCTGCGCGGTAGTTCGGTGGGTCGGCGGGCACATATCCTTGTTGACCAGGCACCCCTTGACCAAGGTTCCCGATCTCACCTCCGATCATAAGTGCGTATTCTGTGCCGAACACCTGCTCCGTCATAAACAGGTTCAGGCGGTCCCGTGGCTCTGTCGTGCGGCCGCTTTTGCGCACCGCGGACGGTTCTTCGTCCTGTCCGCTGTTCAGTGCTGCTGCAGACGCGGTTAGCGCCTGCTTATCACCGGCGACGCGCTCCGTCGGCTCGTCGCATCAGGCACGTCCGGTACCTGCACTTCTTCAGCAGCACACTCCTCTAGCAGCACCGCAACAGACTCTTTTTGCACCTGCTCGTCATCTCCGATGACGATGTTGAAGTCCAGCGGCTCACTGCTGTCTCCTTGGGCTTGTGTGAACCACGCCTGCGTGGTCGTCCCCTGCGTAGAATGTGCCTGTTGATTCTTGGCATCTTCCGCCTCATGCGAAATGCGGAGAGGACAATCGTGCCACCCGTGGTCGGTGGAGTTGTGATAGTACCTGCATCTGCCACGATTGTTTCGGCCGGTATCCCGGCCCATTTCTCGACCTCCGGACGCTTGGCTTCCGCGACTTTCCCGCGTGCATCCGACGCATTTCCCGCGCTACCTTCTCCGTTCGAGGCTCCACCCACGTTGTTCTTGTGCCCGTAAGCAGCGGTATCCATGCACACCCTGTTCTCGGTGGGCAACTTTCTTGTCCACGGCACAAAAAACGTTGGAGTACGCGACCAGCTCCTCATGCTGTGTCGCGGCAGGCGGTGCCTTGTCCTGCTCGTAGGAGGAAGCAGGCTCCTTGGTTTCCTCTGCTGTGGCAGGCGCAATCGGCACCTGCATGGAGACAGCACGCTCCAACAACGGAGGCGTAGCGGTGGCAGGCGCAGCTAGCACCTGCTTGACAGTGGCATCGACGCCTTTTCAGCCGTCGATGCAGCAGGCGCAAACGGCACCTGCTCGGGTTCACCAATGGCGATCTCGAATGATTGCAGCGTGAGATCTACCTCGCGCTCGTGCTTGAGCCACGCCTGTGGCGTGGCATCCCGATCGATGACGAGATACGGTACGGAGAAGAACGTCCTAGGTCGGTTATGACCTTGGAGACCAAGACCTTGACGGGAGCAGAAACAGTGTTCGATTCAGCGGCAGTCTCAAATAACATGAGGGCGTCTCCGCACCGGCCACGCTGTAGCAACGAGGAGGGCAGCAAGACTGTTCTTATGCCGGAGCCGGAAAAGGAGCCGGCTGCCGCCAGAAGGAGCGAGCGCAAACACAAAAATATTAAACAGCACTTTGCCCGAACGTTTATATTGAGCGAAAATTGAACCACATCAAACAGGTGACAACGACGAAGGAGACGACAGAATCTGATGAAAAAAAAGTTGAAGATAGAAGTAGATTTGTAGTGGCAATCGCAGCGCAAGAAGAAGGCGTGAAAATGTCACGACGCTGCTGAAGGGAAACATCATGGAGTGTAATCACCTCCGCTCTTCGTACTCAGGCTTTACTTCCTGAGGGTTGGATGGCATGTGTGTGCATATGTTGAAAGAAAATCCGGGATATTTGTGTCGGAGGAAAACATTCGCAGCTAATGCAACGCAGCTGAGAAAGGCAAAACAAATGATACTATGAAGTTCTCTAGATAGCATTGCCGCGAGAAGACATGGATATTGTTTCGAGGATACATTGAGAGAGATTTTGAATTTTTGTATCGGAACTAGAATGACGTTATGTGTTCTTGAGAGGACGCGTGGGAGTATTTGCAGTAAAAGCACAACTCTATTCTACTGGATGGGTTCATGCGATATTGTGAAGGCTTGGAAGACATCTCGGGCGTCTGTGTGGAAAATAAGATCACTCTGTGCGTGTCTGACCTCGCATCACATGCCAGCTACTTTGTAGCTACAGCTGAGAGGAACAACTTATTGCGACTGCTGTGACAGTGCAGTTGCCCTGACAGAAGTCAAACTGTGGCACTCCGTAGCACGGGCCCAGCACAGTCAGATCTGAGCGTGCCAACACCCATGTCGCTGCACCTCATCAAGTCATCTTGTCGATATCGTTCACCCGTCTAGTATTGGAAGTCGAAGATCGGGACTCTTTGGGGACACAGCTCTCAACCGTCTGTTTACCGCACCGTAGTCGTCACTATGCTCCGGTGCGTGAAACGTGCGTGGGAGCCTTGGTCTACCATCCTTATGTGCCTGTGTGCCTCTCCTCGGCGTCTGGCTCACTGTAGACGTGTCTCCCAAGCCACGTGTCCCTTAGGTGGTAAACTGTACATAGCCTGGTACTGGGGAAAAATGCTAACTTGGTTTCAGTATAGAAAGTGTTCCCTGTGCATTAGGGGACACTTTCCACACTGAATCCAAGCAAGCCCTCGTTCCCCGGGATTGTAGAGCCTCTCCCAATGAGCGGGCGCGATTGTTTCTGGAACCTATGAAAACCTGTAACTACTGCGTACTGTAGGAGGGTTGATCCTGACTACTGCAGTATCCAGCAGGAAGGTGTTCGTTGGCATTCGGAAACGAGGAGAATCGAAGGAGCCCCAGTAACCCGGACAACCAACCACCCATGAGACCTCACCCAATCACACCACGTATTCCATACCGCGCAGTGTCGAGCAGCGCTCCGACGTCAACACACAGAAATATGGCGGCCTCGCTACTCAGGCGAGGCACATACAACAGTCGAGACATCAGGTTTGAGCTCGAGGCAACCATGGTCGTATTGGAGGTGAGTCGGTCCAAACCGCAACACGCTCAATTCCTCCTTGAAGCATTCGGTTACTAGAACCAGGGCAAAGCACGAAGTACGGTGAGCAGCATTGCAGTGGGAAGTGGTGTGGTGTACGCGGTGGTGGTGTGTCTCGCGGGCAAGCCTACCCCACCGACGCACTGCTCCGGCGATGATGAAAGTCTTCTTTGGGTTTTGCTGACGCTTCGATTGTACAGGAGGAGAAGGCAGCGATGCAAAAGCTCGGCCCGAAGGTGGAGGTGTCCCCAGCAACCAAGCGCCTTTGGCAAGAGCTACAGCAAGAAAAGGTCAGCTTTCACACCTACAACAGCCAAGGGAGAAGGATAATGGCTGTAGTGGGATACGCTGTGAGCAAACGGGGCGAACAAGGCCTTCAACGCGACGGAATAGGCTTCCGTTCATCTCTCACCCTCTAATTGCTCTGCCCCGCCACCTACCCAGCCTACTCAACCCTTTGCTGGTGTAGACCATCAAGCGCGACACAGCTACAGGCTGTCTTTCTATTATTGATAACGCGGCCACCCTCTCCCCACAAGATCATATCGAAGGGAATTGATTATTCCAGCCATGAGACGTTTTATCTCTATTATAGTGGGATTCCCAGTCTCAATCCTTATATTCTACAGGTTCGGGTAACTCTGTGTGCGTTGTACATGAATTGTTCTGAAAACTACAGTAAGTTTCGTTGCAATCAGGAGAGAGTGTCCTCGATGACCCTAGACTAACTCCCCCCCTATCCTTCTCTCTTTCGTCACACACACCCCTTTCTCTTCTCCTCCTGCGCAACCCCAACCCTTGGGCAAGATCGCTTTGGAAGGATTGTACATGCACGCCAGTGGTGACGAGTACAGCCGCCCACGACCACTGTGCGACCGGGATATGAAAGCGCTGGAGATATTTTTTGAGGCAATGCATGGTAAGGCGCCTGGCGGTAGACGTGCGTAGGAAAATCTGTGCAAGAGCAACATGGAAGTTGCAAAGCTCCATGCTTCTCGAGTTGCCAACCAGGAGACCGTTCGCGTTGTTGCAAGATAGCCCGCCCCTCCACTAAAACAAACTTTGAGGCACAGGGAGAAAACGAGGGGGTGTGGCTAAGAGTGTCCAGTGGAATTGTGTGTGTGGGAGTTCTTCACCATATGACCGAATACCACCCCTTGTACATATGAGCTTTGACGCATTGAGGGCATGACGGCGACTCGTGGAGGGTGTGCAGCGAACGGAATTGACCGGCATTTTTCGAAATTGGTGTGCAACCCGGGGTGAACACGACATCGCACACAGCACAATATCAATCCAGCGCATGGGCTGCCTGCACATTTCACTGGCGATCGATATAGGGGAACCAAAGCTCATTGAGTCACATCAATAGACATGAAACCTACGTTTGGTGACCATTACTATTGATAGTTCGACACATATTACCGTTGTTTCGGTGGAGTTGAACTCACCAGGGGACAAACTGTGAAGTCCCCCTTGAACGATTACGCCCCGCGCAAACCACGTTTCAACAGGGCGTCGTTGGCTAGATTTGTCAGGATGGCTGGGGAGAACTGCGACAGCCAACACAAGAGGAGTGCCACCTTTCTCATGGTCAGTCGTACTCATTGGAGTTGTCTTGTACCTCAGTTCGTTTGTCCTGTGCATGGCGTGGCCACAGAGAGAAGCTCGAGCGATCCTCAGGTCCCGACGCGTCAGGTGTCGCTTCTGTTTCCCGAGACGCATTTGTTCGGTGTAATGGCCTCCAAGGGATGGTCCCTGATGATAATTCCGTCCAGAAGCGCATTACTGCCTCCTTAGCCATACTCGAGCTCGACCTCCAACCCGAACCTCAATCTGTCTCGCCAACATTGGACGAGAAGCAATCCATGGTGCTGGGCTGGAGTAGAGTGCGGTGTAGGCATCGTTCAGGGTCTGAGGTTGTCCGACAACCAGCTCCAAGGTGTGCTACCTGGCGCTGCTTTGACAAACATGCGTGGCCTGGTGACCCTCGACCTCTCAGGCAATGAGATTGGAGGTACGTCTACTCCCCACGGTAAGAAACTGCCCCCATGATAGCGCCTCGATGAAGCGCTGCTGGCTGTGCGGCGTTGATTGACTGAATGCAAAATGCTGTCTGCTGACACTGACACAGTTGGATATTTTCAGATCCCTACATTAGCCGCTGTGATGCCTAAACCAAACCTCGCTGTGCCCAAATGCAATTTTGAAAGCGTTGACAAGGTTAGAGATGCCTCTGTTGATGCTGAGAGTGAAAAAATGAGCGCTTGCTTTTACAGTACGGCACCCAATGTCGAATAGACACACGCGACGTCCACGACAGCATGGTCATGCGAGACTCTCTCCTGCTTCAATCCCGCACCACTCGCGCTTGCGGAGGGCGACACAGGGGATATTAGGGACGGGGGGCCCGTCCTTATATTCTAGCAAGACACGCCCCACCTTCCTTGTATGACTCATCAAACTCGACATCTCATCGAGGGAATGCTTGACCACTCTTCTCGTGGTTGCTACTCTCTCCGCGTGCAAGGTACCCTGCCTCCTGAGCTTGGGAAGATGCTCAACCTCCAGTATCTCCGCCTCGCGGTCTCGAAGCTGGAGGGGCCGATACCGGACACGCTCGGCGAGATCAAGGGCGAGTGCTTTGTCGCTTGACAGTCGCGAGGAGTGCTGCCATTGCGTGGTGTGGCCTACACATTCTCCTGCTGGCATTGCCGTCCATGTGTGCCTGATCCGCACCTTTACCACGGTGTCTTCGCCTCAGAACCTAGATCGCACGTGTCGTGTCACGCATTCCGCGGGTGTTGCCCTTGAACGCTCCCAGCATTGCTCTCGCTGCATCGGAAGCCAACATCACGGGTAGGAATGCATGTCCTCCGCAGCGTTGAAGAATCAACAACAATGCTGTCCAGACTCTGACTCTGAACGGCGGCCCTGAAATTCGTCGACGGTGTTGAAAAAATTCTCCACTGGGATTCATGTTGTTGGTCCATCAATCTTACGATAGTTTCCACTAGCCCTGTCGAATTATTGGCTCACACGTGAGTACCTATTTTCACGGCAACCATTTACAGGGCTTCGGGAGCTGGACATCTCCCATTCGAGGTTATCAGGTCCAATTCCGCTATCTCTCGGGCGCTGTACCAAGCTCTCCTCGCTAAACTTGTCCCACAACAGGCTCAGCGGTGGGCGACATAATCAGTGTGAACGACGCCCGCATGATACTCCCTGTCAGATTCGCATGACACAACGCGTAGTTTTTTCAATTCTTCCTTGGTCGCATTTTCGAATTTGTTTTTGCTCTGCCCTCCCATGAGCTGCCCCGTTGCTCTTGTCAGTGGCCAGTCGCAAGAATGGCAATGTTGCCCGACAACGCATTCCGCAAGGTGCAGCTACCGCATGTAGCAACACAACGCGTGTGTAGTAACTCGCTGTTTCGAATTGCTCAAGGTCACCTCGGTGAAACAGTTTTTCTGTTGGTCATCGCCCAACAGCTTAGGTACGATACAATGACGGCGGAAGTACTGAGAAGCTGTTCATATTCACCCGGGACGGTGTTGACGTGTTCTGTGTGGTCGCGGGTTGAGCTTCCGCGCGTCAAAGAAGATCATCATAGTTGGGTTCGAAACACTGAAAGGGCGGCAAGGATGAACGAAAGCAGTCCCAGTGTGATTGGGAGACGCAATACTACTTGGTGTGTTCTGGGACGGGTAGGATCGACTCTCTACGCCGCGGTCTCGGAAAACGGGAGTTGAAAACACAACGAAGGGTGTATGTTTCATTGCCATCGCGGAGATGGTTCCAACCACCCGCTTAGGCTTTGAGATCCGCCGTTCTACTTTCTAAACGGGAGCGAGAAAGCGGTCTTCCCTGAACTAGCTGAGGAATTGCGGTTTTCTCTATCTTGGGGGCTTCGAGCGAGGCAGAAAGGAGAAAGCGTGGTTTGTCTTTGGTTGTCTCAGGGTATGCTTTGAATCGCGGCATGCCTCTTCGCGCTCTAAGGTTGCCTCCACCGACAAGCGACCGTGTGTTTGCGTGTAAATCTTCTCACCCCAGGCTCGATGCCGCCTGAAATAGGCAACTTGCGAGCACTGCGGGAACTTTTGCTCGGCCACAATCGACTCACAGGGAGAATACCTTCGTCGTTCGCTGACCTTGTGCGGCTTCGATCGCTGAGCCTGTCGTGCAACCGTCTAGAAGGTAAATGGGTGGTGAGGTTGTGCCATGCTCGGTGGCGAGCGCCAGGGCTTGGGGAGTACATTGATATGAAGACAACATATTGTACATAGTAACATAGTAGGGGCGTAATGAAACCCAACAGCAACAAGTTGGAACGAAATGCCGTTGAACGGTGTCGATGTGCACGATTTTTACTCACTGCGAATATCAGCTTGTGCATGACGACAACACACTGAATACGCATACGACATGGCTAGTCGTCATGCTAACAAGTTAGCGCAATAGGCCAGTTGATAGTTACAACAGTTCAGTAGCGATAGGATGGTCGGCATTTGATGTACAGAGAAATGGTACATGGCCCATTGATGGAAGCGACAAATTCCATTTGACCGCAACAACGCCTGCACCCTGACGAAATCGTCCCCCTTTCCCTGGCACAAAATCCCGAAGGGACTCTGTCACCCTGGCTTGGAAAGCTCACGTGCTTGCAACGGCTGCTGCTCGACAATAACCAACTGTCTGGTCGGCTCCCCAAGGCTCTTCAGAACCTTCGCCACATCGAGGTACGTAAATGTATATCTTATTTTCCGTTTGCCTCGTTTTTACTGTTTTTTTTTCTGTCTTTGGTACTTGAACCGTCGTAACGGAAATGCTGTGTTGCCCATATTGTTGTTGCACCTCAGGACCGTCGTCGAAGCTGCTTCATTTCATCGCCCAAACAACCTCTTGTTGTAGTTTGTATTAGAGTGCCACAAAATTCAGCGAACCGTAGTGATCCATCCAAGCAAGCCAGAGTTTGCCGTGGATGCGGAGCTTGGTGAGAGGGCGAGGGACTACCAAAACATGTACCCAACACGTCTGGTTGTTTTGCGCCGCCACCCCTTGCTAGTATTCGTTTGGCATCGGTATCCGTCTCCAATCAAATGATATTTTCCTACTGATACGTATGGTAAGAAAAACAGCGACGCCCCGAAGTGATCAAACTCGGCCGCAGTGGTTTTATCGAGCGGTATGAACGAAACGCGTATGACACCACGCAACATCCATGGCGGCCGCACAATACCCGTCCCATTCCTTATAGGTCGCTCACTTTCAACGTAACTGTCTATCCGGAACGATCCCGAGGTGCCTGGGCGAGTTGACTGAGCTGAGAGTCCTGAACTTGGCTGGAAACGGGCTCCAAGGTGTACATGAAAACGCCAAAATAGTCCAAAAGCGGTCTCAGCGTTTCCAAATGTTTTCGACCCGCCTTGACGCTGAAACGGCTCGACTCTGAGGGAAGGCATAGGATTACAGTTGCATAGGGTAGTTGGTCTTGGGCAGAACACATCAATGTGGTTGGAGTTTGTTGTTGTATCAACACGGAGAAAGCCACGAGCAGAAGAACGAGAGTATGGCCGGAAATAGCACCAACAATCGACAACAAGACAACAACTCTAAGCTGTTGTGGCTATATCACTGAATTACCTGGCGCAGGCAAAATGCCGCCGGAACTCGGCGACTTGGCAAAGCTCGCCGGGTTGGAAGTCGGCAACAACTTTATCGTTGGTAAGTTCTGCCTTGCTCGACTGCCGGTATGTACCGCGTGTCCCGTAGAGTCAAGCGTTGGACCAAGCGTTGTTTAACGTTTCGGGGCAAGGTTTAGGACATGACAAGCACGCGCCCTTTTGCTCCCAATAGGAAGATTACGTACGAAAGCAGCTACAAGGACCAGAAAAAAGGGCCTGCGTGTCAAACCGGAGTGAAATAATCTCTTCGGATCGAGCCGGCGTTCCCTTTACATAGAAGGTGTTTCGCGCAAGCGCTTCATTCGTGTTCTCTCCTCAAGTGGAGAATGACGTTTTGATGGTTACAACTTGGTCTACAATGGGAGTTTTACGGTGACGTTGTCGATGCGCATGGTCTTGGTTGTCCTGCAAGTTCCCGCATACGTCTATTGCCCCAGGACCTCTGCCATCGGAGCTTGGACGGCTATCCCGCTTAGTCGACCTGCATGTCATGGAGGGGTGCCCATCGTACAGCCTGCCGCTCCACCGAGGATTCACCAGGTGGTAGTATGTAGTACTGCACCAGAAACGAGTCATTTTGCTTTGGCCTCCCACTGGCATGCTTTGCATGGCGCTGCAGTGTTGGCTTGCTATGCTCATCCCCACTAGACTATTGTGTTAGGCAAAGACCAGTCGGGGCTTGGAGTCACAGTGCGCGTGGCGCGGAAGACAATCCTCAGTCAGTACTTCCAAAAGTTCCCGTTTTCCAAATCGTTGGGAAGCTTCGTGGCCAAATCACCCCCAGCCGGTGTGCTATATTGCTCGCAATTCTCACTCCGTCCCCCCCCCGAATCACCTGCCTTTCCTTTTGTTGTAGATGCGCCTTCGAGAGAGTGTTTGTGGCAGGGCCGGCTCTCGGCCTCAACAACACCACGTACCCCTGCGGGGAGACCGAGACGAAAGCCATCAAGAGTCCCAGGAACAGTCTTCTAGACTTGTCGGATGCCTGGAAATGACAAACAAAACCTCGTCCTGGGAGAAGCCCTCTCTCAAACCGTTGGTCCTGCCCCATCTCACAATTCACGCGTTTGGTTTGCCTTAGGACGGAAAAAATGTGCGTCAACATTGGCAGAGTAGCCTGGAGAATTCGTTCCACTTACTGGAGGCATGTCGCTGACGATTTTGTGTCCATTGGTACCTCCTGTACAACATCTACGGCGAGGAAGGTGGTGCTGCTTCTGTTTTGATCGCGTCGTGCGTGTGTGTGCATCTGTCGTGTAGTGACGTGTTCGTCGTCTACCCCTCTTGCGTACATGGTGGCGTGTCTTCGGAAGCTGAGCTGCTCAACAAGGACTCCCGTTGGGGGCGGGTGCAAGGTGCAAGCGACCTGGGTCGCTACCGCGTGTAGTTGAGCGTCGTCACAAATACACTTGAGTTGAGCGAACGATTTGAATCTGTCACGAGGTACTTCGGAGCGGCTGGCGTTAAAACTGTTGTACAGCATCGACAACGCGCGAAATGGGAGCATACAGTACCCGCGTGGGTGGCGCCGGCCACCGTAAAACTCCAACCTGCCCACCGTTCCAAGTCACGCGTCATAGCCCATCTCAAAAGGGTTGAATTGCTGACCATTCGCCCCACAATCGATTTAGGCCTGTTCCAAAAACGGACCCAATTTCCCCATTTGAAAACGCGGAACGGTAACGAGAACGACCGGGCCGAAGCAAGAACGGATAGGGGTGAAACAAGCTGGCAAGGCAGGATACGGTTGCCGACTACGCGCACCGCTCCATGAGTTGATTGATGGACGTGATATATGAGATGTTTATCGCCGATGTTCGATTATCTCGAGCGTAATGATCGATCACGAGGAACCTAAACCGAGAGCTCTCCTTTGCCCCTCTTCTACCCACCCGCCCCGATTGCTGGCGACACAATAATCAACACATGTGGTCTTTCAGCTACGAACTACCCGAACCCGTTGTCCAACCCCTCGACTTTATCGACACGCAAATACCTTCAACGCTGCCGTGTACGATGACCATGCAACACGGCATGAATTGTACAGTTCGCTACCACAAGAAGCTCTATCATGCCTGAACATCGTCAGTGTTCACAACGTCTCTCCTGCGAAAGTGGGTCAACTTGAAGCTATTTTAATCTCTCGTGGAACCTTTGTCAGTCTAAATAGAAGTGTAGAGTTAACCAAACTAAAGTTCGTCTCCATCAACGAACATGAAGGTATCGAGCGATCGCCTGCCTTCACTTTAATAGTACCATAAGATAGTGTATGCCGTTCCGCCCTGAGCTAGCGGGGAACAAAGACAAGGTACTAGAATAATCCATTTCCCCCGCAACAACCATCATCATCGAGCATCAGCTTTCCTCCTCATCATCGTCCCCGCTCGAGTATGCCACCAGCCCTAACCCAAGCCCAGCCGATGCCTCCGCCGCGGCGCCCCCCTTGCCACTTTCTCCGCCCACGCCACCACCACCTTCGTGGGCACTCTTGCTGTGCTTTCCGGTCTTACTCTTGCTCTTCTTGGAACTTTTCTTCTTCTTGCTTCTCTTCGCTCCCCCGTCCTCCCGGTCTCTCTTCTTCGGAGCCCCCCCTTCACTCGCTTCTCCCCCGCCCTGAGTGTCGACCGATCTCTTCCCGCCCGCTCCTGGTGACTCTCCTCTTGCTACGGCCTGGCCACCACCTGCTTGTGGAGAGTAAACCCCTGATGCTTCTGCCGCTGGCGATGGTGATGATGATGTGCCCGGACGAGAAGTTTTCTTCCGGAGCTTTATCCCCGCGAGCGGTGGTGGTGGTTCCTTCCGTCTGCTGTCCGCCCCCACTCCACCGGCGCCGCTTCCTGGCCCCCCGTCCCCCTTAGCCCCGGTGGCTACTGCCGCGGGATCAAAGGGTTTCTGAGGTGTGCAGTGGAATCCCACGGCCATTGCGCGGAATGAGAGGAATACGAGGAACAATTTGGGGCACAGCGTAGAATGGCCGGCGTCAGGGAGAGGAAGATTTCTACGGAGATGTTGCATTCTGCGTACTTACATACGAGGAAAAAAAAAAAACGGGCAGGGCGCGCACTCATTGGGATATGTAGCGTTCGACTGTACCTGCCCTTTCGACCCAGACACCATGAGGGCGTTCACAAAACACACAAGTCCCAACAACGCCACCAATACATTCCCTCCTCGAAAATAAGGGCGTGTATTTAACAGTACGTATCGAAAACATCTCCGAATCATGTGCCGTAAACGGAGGGGTACCCTAGGGGCAAATCTCCTCTCACCATCTGGCAAAGAAAAAGCGCCATGCTTCCTTGAACACATCTTCCCAACATTAACACCCTACATGTCGTCAAACCAACCTGAACGACACTGCGAAATAAATGTATCCGACAGTCTTGCGCAATAAAACGGCATTGTTGCTGTAGGCGTTGACCAGTGAACCACTCATCGCTTCTACAGCAGTAGTGCACAATGCTATTCAAGAAACGATCATGCAAGTGGACGAACAATAAAGAGGGTTCATAGAATACAATATGATTGGAGGGAGAAACCTTCAGTGCTGCAGCGCGAAACGCTTCCAGAGCAGCTCTCTCCTCCAACGCCCTTCTGGACTCTTTCTCCCTGCCGGCGGCCTCCTGATGCTGCATGAAGAGGCTATCAGACATATCGTACCCCATTCGGGGGTGGATGGTCTGCTCGACACCGTTGGGCAGTACAGAGCAGTTCGGGTACAAAAGGTGACAAACACCCCGAGCGTTTAGAAAAATGGGGCATCAAAACTTTGTGTCTTTTCAACGAGTTGCGCTCTAAACGACGATACCTCCGTCGAGGAGTTTGCCGCAAGCAACGCGTGATACGGTGCCATAGCGATTTGCTTAGAAACCGGGAGAAAACGGCAGGAGCAGCGGCCCGCTTTATGTGAGCCTGCGGCTTAGCGTTTCCAACAATAATATTGTTCGAAAATCGGTGCTAAGGTGCGGCTTAATGCACGTCTGGACATCACGTCATGGCCGGTAGTTATCGATTAACGTGCACTTGCGTATTGGCCAGACCAGGTGCTCATTGCCATTAATCGAAATTTTTTACCCGCGCTCACGGACTGCCCTGCAGCAACATCAACAACGCCTCGTCATTCCAAAGCTGATTCCAAGTATAAAGACTCTCAAGTCTCGAAATCTCATACAATGATCATAATTTCTTCAGTATAATGATGTTTAACCACACAATGTGCACCCAACCGTCACCTGCGTTTGTTCTTGGAGCTCATCCGGAAGATCCGCGGCGGAAGACCCCGGCATAACTTCGAAAGTCCTTCTCTCCCTCGCTTTCTCGATATTCTAAACAAGGCGTGGCCGGTGGTGTGATGGTGGGACCATCTTGTTGCAGTATCGCTATCGAAACCCCTCGGAAAAATTCATACAACCGACTTATGTCTCGTCCTTTGTGTCATCGGAAAATGGCAATCAAATCATTGGTGCAAACAAGTGCACACGGAGCATGGCACTTATTCCTACACCCATGAGTGCGCGAGACGATTCGAGTAGGGTACGTACGCTGATTGCCTGGGATAGATACGAGAAGACAACTGTTGCCAATCATCAGCGAGACCATTGGGGCAGTCCTGCTCAAATGTGTTTGGATTCGTAACAAGTCGATGCAGTCAAGACGGTGTTCGCGCCAATCTAGGTCCCTTGAATCCACTACTGAGAAACAACCGGTGACGCATGGCCTACACATTGCGTCTCGACCCACCTTGACGCTCCCCATGTGGGACGCGGTGGAATCTCCGCTGATCATGATGACACGCCTGGATCAACCTTCGTACGGCTGAAGACGGGGGGTGAGGTGTGAGGTGCCGCCTCAAGCCGCATGCACCGCGTTATCCTACTGCGTCCTAGCCTGCTCTAGTCGTTACTAGCGCCTTGCTCTAACGCCACCTTCCTTCGTGATTGTGCTAGGCGCCGCGTGACTGTCCTCTCTGTGGATGTCCCAGTACTCCGTCGCCGGCCGAGCGCCGTTAGTACGAGTAACGTGCGCGGAGATATTGTGTTCGGACCGTGCGCTTGCCCGGGCCCGGTTGCCCTGCGCAGGAAATGATTTGCACCCGACGTTGGCCACGACACACTTACGTCAGGCATACAAACTCCATCCTCGAACTCTCGCTTTGCTCGGAAAAATCGCACAAAGAGGGGTGGGGATCAGCGGCGTGCGATCGCATGGTCGTCGTCGACCTCGCCGTTCTTTCAGACCAACTGGGCAGTTTCGTCCCCAAAGTACAGGCGAGAAACGTCGGGTCGAGGCTCAATTTCACGGTTAGTTCGTTACCACCGTCGACTTCAAGCTGTTGTATTGAGTTAACAATAATTTGAGTACATGGCTGAGCTGTGTTTTGTAACCCATTGTTCTAGTTTTTCGTGAAAATTCGAGGCTTGAAAATACATCTGTTTTTCTCAACTTCGGCCCGAACTCTACGTAGTGTGTGGCCATCATTGTCCTGTGCGAGCATGGTTCTACTTTCGTTGACTTGGCCCTTTAGGCGGGGCAACGATGGTGGACACAAAGCGATGCGGGGACTACCGTGTTGCCGAACACGACTTTTATTTATCGCTGATACTGTGCAAATGCGCGACGCCCTCTCCGGAGAACACAATCAAGAGCACCCGTCGAATTGCCCAAGAGGGCGTCACCGGACGAGGGAGATGCGGTAGAAACCGCTAAAAGTACGAACTGAAACAGAACACGCTGCCTAGGACACTAAACCAACCCACAAGCACGCGCGAACGCCTAAATATGAAGCTGATACTGCTGTAACAGAGTTTCTCTATTCTCATGCCACGTAACTTGTCTCTACACTGTATGCCTGTCTGATCTATATCTCCGCGCTCTGGCGGCGGGTGAAGACAAGGCGCACCCGCTGTTTATAGACAGCAAGTACGTGCCTTTGCTGTTCCACCACAAGTGGTCTCCCCTGACGTAAAGAAACGGTTGGAATGACCATAGGTTCTTGAAAAATTAGATTTGAGAGCGGGGCTGTTATTTGCATTCCTTCTTGTCGGCCATCATGAACATTGGACGCAAACAACCAGCAATCTTGATTTGCCATGCCCTCTCCTCGCAGGCAATGAAGGGCAGCATTCCTAAGTCGGAAGGTCGTTTTGGGGTTCTCGGGCCCTTCCCATACTGGATTCAATAGTAGAATCCCAACACGGCGGTTGTAGGCGCAACGCCGCCAGTGTCCTACACAAGATTACACCCCTCACAATATATACAACCCGTCGGGTAAGTATTTTACGGATCAGCATGAGCCCAAACATAAACCCACTCTCTGACAAAGATAAAAAAAAAGGTACCACAACCCATACACAAACAAACACGCATGCACACAGTTCATGATTTGCTTGCATTAGAATACCCATGATATCATGATATCATTGGAGGGGGGGTATTGTCTTGCGTAGATATGTACGGTCATAGAGAGAAGGGTGTCAATCGACGACAATTGCCTGCATCTTATTCTTCTAGCTTCGGATCGTGGTTGTGCGACACGGTTCTACGAGATAAACTCCCAGAGAAGGGCAAACACTATTCTATAGATGCGTATCCTGCGCTACGCAGTTGCTGAAAACGCCTTCACACAGGGAGAGACGAGCCCAACTCAGCAATTCAAGAGGTAGCACTGCTGTTAATGCTACTCCTGTGCGCTACAGTATGCATGCTCAAGAGGTCACTTCCGCTGACACCAACACCCTTACATACGGGCGTGTCGACATCGTACTTCTGCCAAACTGGATATCAACGCACCTCCGAAGGAAGGCGTTCGACGTCTCCGAGGTACCAACCAAGTGATCCAAAACAGGCCCTGTTTGTGATGCACCCTCTCTCCGCTTTGAGATCGAGCTGCCCGGCAATACGCCGGGGTTGTTTCACGAGCAACCCCGGGTTTTCCACCCCGACGTTTTGGTTCGATACCAAACGACTGCGCTTCCTGCTTCCTTAGCTTATTTACGCCGCATGTTAGGCAAGGCTCGGCCTTGGGCCTTGGTGCCCAGTGCCCACGCGGGCTGTGCTATCTGGCAGCTGGTGTGTGGGTTGGGTTTTGTATTTTTCCTGGAGTGCGCTGAATAAGCGGCATCCCGCTTCAGAGAAAGACACTACATACCAACCCGGCCTCATCCAGGGATAGACAGGGGCTGGTGGGCACCGGTGATAGGCCGATAGGCCAAGTCTGGTGCAGGAACCAGGCGGAGCTGATGGAGGCAGGGTGTGGCGATGACGGTGCTGCCAAAACCGAGGAACGAAAAGGGCTGAAGCTTGCTGAGTGTGAGGGACTCCCTCGCGAGATGACTGAATCTGTGAGAGAAATGAGGTGTCGAGCATCGCGGTACAGCAGTCAGTCAGCGCTGTAGCTGTATGGTAGACAAGATGATAGGCGGCTGAAAGAGAGGGGAGAGAAGGAGAGAGAGAGAGAGATAGGCAGCAAGACAGACAGAGACAGACAGACGGAAAGCCATATCCTCTCGTATAGGTTTGCAGCTACGGCATTCCTAAGCACCGTGTGGAGGGTACAGCAGTAGCACCTTAGGCTTAGAGGTGCCGAAAATGACAGCAGTTGCCTCTTCCCCAGCACTGCAGACGCGGGTGGGGAGCCTATTTTGTTTGTCTCCCATCATTGGACTCTGTCGTCTGCTCCTCTGGCCCCTATCCTCCACTTCTACTAGCTAGACGACCCAACCGGGGTCACATAGGAGGGGGGGGTTGGACCCCCTCCTGCGGTTCATGCCTGAGGTATTTTTATCGCGAGAAGGGTACAGCAATCCCTTCCCTCGCGACTTACGAAGTCGATTATGGTTTACTAACAAACGAGCTTTGCAGCGCGTCGCTTTCATCCTAGACCAGGATTTATTTAGTGAGAAAAAGACTCTCTCTACCGGGACTCGAACCCATGACCTGGCCCTTAGCAGGCTGCGAGGCTACCCACTAGACCACCGGGGCGACCGGGATATGTGGTTTGTGGTATACGTACTTTACCTAGGCTAGAAGAAAGGGTATGAATGTGTGCCGACCAGAGAAACGTTCCCCAAGAGGTTGATGATAGTTCGACACCCAAAATTGCAATCGAGACAGATGTCGGTAAGTCATATTTGGAGTCCCTTTGTGTGGAGCAAACAGCAAACATGACCTAACTGGTACACAGGACGGTAGGTACCAGTGTGTAGTGGTTTTTTTTTGTTTGTTTCNTACTAGCTAGACGACCCAACCGGGGTCACATAGGAGGGGGGGGTTGGACCCCCTCCTGCGGTTCATGCCTGAGGTATTTTTATCGCGAGAAGGGTACAGCAATCCCTTCCCTCGCGACTTACGAAGTCGATTATGGTTTACTAACAAACGAGCTTTGCAGCGCGTCGCTTTCATCCTAGACCAGGATTTTTTTAGCGAGAAAAAGCTCTCTCTGCCGGGACTCGAACCCATGACCTGGCCCTTAGCAGGCTGCGAGGCTACCCACTAGACCACCGGGTAGTGTCACATGCTAATTCTTCCCACCAACCCAACGGAGTGGCGGAGTACAGTAGCAAGATGGGATACAATGGCTATGCCGTGCCTGAAACCACATCCGGTTGGACGAATTGGTACATTTCTGCCTGTTGTGTGGTTTGATCATGTTTTCGTGCTGTTGGTGAAACAACTCTACTTTATAGCACAGCAGCAACAGCAATGCATTTCTCGTATGCGGCCTTAATTGCCTGTCTGTTTTTGATGCTCTTGGATCAGGACGGTGTCACGGAGCACGTGTTCCAGAGGATGGATTTCCTGTGGAGGGCGTCGAACTGCCTTCGCCTGGTCAGCCCCGCGGTCTCCAGGATATACTCGTTGAGTGCATGACACGGGCAATGAACAATGCCTTCCCGTCGAGCAACAAGTTGATTTTTGTTCGGCTTTGACTACGCAGGCGATTGCCTTGTATGTTTGTTTTTTGGGTTATTATACCGAAAGTGGAGTTGAAGATAAGCTGTATCCAAATCCCAACGAAAATCGCGTGCTACCGAGTGAGCTTTATTTCCTTCGATTGCGCGCTGTTCCCGCAACCACATAGAAGTACCAAGCCTCGCCTACCGAATCGAGTCAACGAGCTGGACAACAAACGTTTCGCGCGAAACGCAAGTTCTTGGTGTGTTGGCTACATTGAAGTCCCATCGGTGCCGTGTCGAAGCATGTTGCAACAGGCTTGTGTGTCGCGTTTTTCGGAAAGACCTACCTCTCACCGCTCGTGCTTCAGTGTTCGTTGTTCGACTTCGGTTGGGCACAGCACCCCTGGTTTCGATTTTTTTTTTTGTGTGTGTTCGGGTTTGCCTTTCGATGCTGCGTCATTGACAAGTAGAAGTACAGATAAAACGATCTCCTTCGACTCCAGCAGAACTAGAGCATATTTCTCTTCAGTTCCGCAGCAGACCTGAGTGTCGAGTCATGAGCACCTGAGCATTTACACCACCTCCCGCCTCTTCTGCAGCATTTCTTGCTGACTGCGGTGACTTTGTCTCGTGCAGTCATCGTTTGCTGCTTGTCTCCCCTCTGATTGTTTTTCCTTGTGGACCGTAGGGACCAGCTGCTCAAGCTCTGTGCGGAGTATGAAGCCCGGCGGCCAGGTAAGCTATGTACACCATCAACAATATCACGTCATTCACTTGCTTTTGATATTGTTGTGGTTGTGCTCTCATCAGCATCACACTCGGCGCGCTCTGGTTTTGGTGAAAGTCTTAGCGGCGCTGTTCACAAATGACACCAGCGTTTTGTTGGACCATGTTTTGTTTTGCTTTTTAATCACCTAAGTTCAACGAAGCCTGTTCGTTCGAGCTGTTGGGATATCAAAGTGGCAGTCACGCCAAGCGCCCAAGTGGTCCGAAATGCCTCCCGCCATCCTAGATGCTAGATGCGAGTTTTGTTTTCACCCTTGGTGCAATGAGCACCTGAAACATACATAAGAGTGGCCGTTTCTTTTTCGCGACTCAGGTTTACACCCTTTTGGGACTGGGAGGGCTTGAGAATCTCGTCTATTTTTGTGCTGTGCGTTTTTTTCCTTACCTACTGTAGATCTCGTTGGCACTACTTCCGCGGAGACACGTATCTATCGAACCATACCTGTTACAATACGTTACAGACCATAGGCATTTACCATACCCATTGAAGAGGGCGTATTGTTGTTCTTCTTTTCTTTTTTGCGCTTATGCTTCTGTCGCGGCTCTAAACCCTTTTGCGAATGAGCTGTGGAGCATCTAGTTTCGTATCGCTACGCATCGCAATCGGCAGCCACTGAAACAAAGCGATCAGAGAGTCCGTTGAGACAAAACCGAAACAACAAACATGTCCCGGCCAGACTACCGCACGGATTTGTCTCACCACAGCCTCCAACTGTTGTCGCTGCTGTTGCCGCGTTTTGTACAGTCGGCTTCAAGAAGCGGCCCTTCAGAGGGCCCCATGGTCCATGAAATAGTTACCGAGATTTCCGCGAGCAGACAGGGGAAGATTTCTTGGGAATGATGTTGGATTTCACCCCACCCACCCCCCACCCCCCAGCAGCAGGAAGCGGCCCCTTGCTCCCGGAACGAGTGTCAGACTCATTGTGCAACTCTTGTGGAGGCATATTGACCCCGGGGATAACCTGCCGCATTCGAGTCCGGCACCGTTCGTTGGCTTCACCTAGCGTGAAGAAGGCCAAGGCTAAAACCAGGCGGGAGAAAACCAACACCAACAAGTGTCGCAACGATGTGGTAAGAGGCAGCCATTCTTGTTCTCTTGTTATCTTGTTCTCGCCTCTTTGTGTCGGCGGTGAGCAATACGGATGAGGGTTGGCTTGGTTGTACCGCTGATGTGTTGCAACCCGAAACCCGGGCATGGCTTGAGTGAAACAGGTCAAACGCGGCAGAGGAAGCGAAGAACGGCAGTCTTGGACGATGTGCCACGTGACGGCTTTGCAGTTCGCTTTTCCGACGATTGACTGATATGCGTGTTGGTTTAGTATGCATATGCTTTCGCAAATAGTTGCGTTTCGTCATGGTGATCTGACCGCAGCTTGTTGCCCGCTAGCTCATGCTTGGTCGGCAGGTGTAGATATCTCGCTGAATCAAGTCACAACTGGCACTGCATGCTTGTGTTCAGGTAACAACGTGCTTGACGTGCGGCGGAATCAACTCCCGAGGAGGAACGGAGCGGCGAGCTCTCGACAAGAAACGACGCCGGAGGGGAAGCGGCAGGGGCAGGAAACAAGCCGTTAAAGACTCTGGGGAGGGAAGCGGTGCGTCTGTTGGTGTTGTTGTCGTTATTGTTGATTGTTTGTTTTCTGGTTTCATGTATTTGGTCCCCGAGTTGCTCTGCTTCGCTCGCTGCTATTGCGGGTGGCCTGTGCCGTCCATTGTGCCTTGCGCCCAGCATTTTCATTTTCCATGCTGACGACCGTGGCATGGGTCGTGCAGCCCCTTTCCTGATCAAATGCTTCCCATTCTCCCAGTAGGGTGCTCACATTTTTTTTTTCGTATGCAAACATACTGGACAAAGTATAGAACGGGCAAGTTGGGGGCAGGGATAGGTTCGGGGTCTGTCTGTGTGCCCCCTCCCTTGTAGGACTTTTTTCGCAATTGTCTTCCTTTTTTTGAGCAGGCAGTCCGATGCTCGCTTAGGTGTGTCCACACCGATACTCACACCGACACTCACATCTCGATCCACCCCTCGCCTCGCATCGGACGCTTCGATCGTTTGGTGCTTTCTTTAGACTTTTCGTGCAGACTCCTCACCTCACCAGCGATTGTTTCCTCCTCAATGCCACTGCCGCAGAAGCTCTGAAGGGCAAGAAGAGGAACAGGGATGCTGCCGCCCTACGTGGGGACTATATCCCGCTTGGGAGGGGGAGCTTGGCAACGCCACCCACAATCCCCTCGCGGAAAAGAGTTTCCCCAACGCCGTCATCAAACAAGAGGGTCGGCGACAGCGAGAGCGGCAACGGTGACGGTGACAGCAGCGCTAGCAACAGCGTTCACCACAACAGGAGGGGATCATCTGGTGGCAGTGGCAGCGGCGGTGATGCTATCGGTGGTAGCGGTGATGCGGATGTGGGGGACGCAGGGGTCGCGCCGCCAGCGCTGAGCTTGCTCGAGAGAATACGCCGGGACAAGAAGAAGAAGCGACGCCATGATGCTGCTTCTGCCACTGCAACAGCAGAGTGAACACTCGTTCTTGGGGTCGACAATCAGCAGTAGACAGCAACGCGGTTTGATTGTGCTTGGACGGGGGGCGCAAGGATGTTTGTGGGGATTATATCTCGTTTGCTGCATGACGAGGTTAGGACAGGGCGACGTTCACTGGGTCGCGTGTAGTCTAAGCGTGTGCGAGCGCGGGCTCACGAAATTTGAACTCTAACCGGAGATCTATCATCGTTTTGCTCAGGAGCCTCTCGCACTTAGTTGTGGTGTGCGGGACCTCATGTATGTGTGAAAAGAGCCGCACGGTCATTTTGTGCTTCCGATTTTTTATGCCCTCCAGCGCATTGCTGCCTCCTCCTATGCGATGGTTGGGCCGGAAAACAAATTGGAAGCGCTTCTAGTGCCGTGCAGATGCCCTGCCCTGTGTATGTCACGCTGTTTTTTCTCTCATGTGGAGAGGGCCGTTGACCCCGTTTACCAAGAACGCTGGGTTCCATGTATATCACATAACCGAAACGCGGGTATCATGGTTGCATGGTTTGGTGCGTGTTCGCAGCATGTATATGTTGTTGTTGTTGTTTCTCACATTAGCTCTATAGTCCACCAAAAATGGGGAGCCCGTGGTCTCAAAACCCGGCACATACGACGCCGCGGGAAAACAAAATACAAAAATAGGGTACAAACCACTCGGAAAAAGAAAACAACAATGATAGAAAGAAAAGAACAGGTATCGCACCGACCGTTCGAGAAAAAAGCCCTCGGAAACCGATCAAAATGAAACAAGAACAAAATAAAGGAGGGTGCTTCCCACACCCGCCCAAAGAAAAAATCAAAGGGTAACGTACCAGCACCAGGCACCACGCACCAGGGCATGGGAGTAACGGAGCAAACAGGGCAAAGAGGCGGTAGATGGGCAGACAGTCAGACGTACAAAAAAAAAAGGCAACAGCAAAGCGAGATCAAGGTACCGTATGCATACGTAGTTGCAAATGACGATCACCGCCATGGATGAAAACGACCGGCGGGCGTACGGATGGGTGTTGATGGTGCCCAACTTCTGCCTTAATTTCTTTCAGGCCAGTTTGTTCAAGAGCCTTACCGTACATGACACAAGATAACACACCCCCTTGACCGATTTTCGAAGCTCGATTTCTCAACTGCCGGAACAGTCACAGCCCCGAAAACGGCGGCGTTGAAACCGTCCCGTCGAGAGCTTTTCGAACATGTATCGTTTCGTTTATGCATCCTCTTCGTCGTGGAGTAATCGAGCTTTGAAAATCGGTCCAGGGCGTGTGTTATCTTGTGTCATACACGGTATTCTGTGCGCCTTGCCGTAGAATACGAAATATCACATGTGTAGTCTATCAACGGTGCAGATGGATCCTCAATACCTCTCGGGATATGTTCGTACCCCGATTAATCCGAGTTTGCCGTTTTTGATGCTATCTCACCACCATCTCTCTTTGCCTACATCGTACATACTCAGGAGTTCTATCAGTCCTCGACTATTTTACTCCACGTTGTCAATAGCACTGCCTGTCACCATGTCAGGGTGCTGTCAGGGTCTGTCTACTTCATGATTTAGCACAGAGGTAGGCTAGACTATGTATCCATCTAGGCAACAGATGATGACACTACAGTAGTTGAGGGAGAAAGCGTCAGTCATCTGATCTCTCTGGTACGGGCAAATTACGGTTAAATCCGGAACGGCAGAACCTACCTCACGCAAGATTCATGAATCTTGCAGACACGGATGTACAGGAGCACGCGGAAAATCGCGAAATGAATGAGAGCACGTGGAACATATTCCTCCTGCTGCTGTCGCATGTGAATAATTAGTCTATGGAATCTACAACTACAAAACGCGTACCGCCATGTCTATGCATGGATCTACAGACAGACCTTGTTGATTTGAGACCCCACCATAACAGCACAGGTTTACTATGTGCACAGCAATTTTACTGGCACGTACCCCCGCCCCTTCCTTTGGCCGTCGACCTGCCTCCATGTAGTGGGAGGCTACCCCCCCAGGCTGGTGGTGCGGCCGTTCCACTAGTCTAATTATTTATTTTATTTTTATTTTATTTGTTTCTGATTATATTTTGTTTTCTTGTATTTTATCGCTCTGCTGACCCTTGGGGTCCATTTTATTTTGGTATACCTTTTCTAGGTACGTTAGCCTGTGACCACGGAAATTGGCCGAGTCAAGTGATGGATTAGTACGGAGAGATTGAGACAGAAGGAGGTACTGGATAGAGAGACCGGGATGGTTTTTAATGTGAAGACAACAACAACAACAACAACAGCAAGGTAAAATTGTTCAGAGACAGGCCGTTCAAAGTTTGGAGTCGCGCGCGTGGTGTGTGGCAGACTGCCCAACAGATCAATGACGCCGTGAAACCACGGGAAGGAACACTTCAAGCACTGCTGATGCTGTTGAGGCGGAATAGACAAAGCTCAAGCAACGAGACGTTGACGTCAAGTTGCGGGCGAGGGTGGAAGGATCTTGCCTGTTGCCGCTGGAAGAAGACAGATCTTTCTTCTCGTCGACCTTTGGACTTTTGACCTTCCGAGATGGAGTCTCCCATCTGTCTCCTCGTGATCTCCGACTTTCGGTCTTGGTTCTCTACCAACAAGTGGTATCCATCGCCTGCCTTGGGAGATTACCCACGTCTTCAAGTGAGGCTGCGCGGACACGAACTGTACCGGGGCTGCCGCGTCAATTGGCGGCGGGCTTCTTCGGGCAGGTGGACTGTGATCATTTATAGGAGAAACCTCTTCACTCAGGGTATGTATGTTGCTGCTGTATGTGCCCTTCTGATCTTCTTCTCTTGTTCGTCTGGACCAATGTCCGGACAACTTGGTTGGCAGTTTTCGAGCACTGGTGTCAACTCGTGTCTGCGACTGCTTTGTGTGGGTTGTTGGACAGATGCTGTGCCTGGGACCGGGGTCCATGTGTGTTGGTTTCATGGAGGTTCAAGATCGCACATGGTCTACACCGGCGCTTCTTTCGTGGTCTCTCCCTCCCTCCCCTCTCCGCTCGTGCTTCGGTTTTGAATTCGAGAACAGTCTAGACTAGACGGCCGTACCTCAAGCTTTCGCACAGAATCAAATACTTGAGGGACCAACACATGCAGCAACCGTAGTAGCATACCATGGGTACTCTGCTAAACACGTACCAGAGGTCCCTGCTTCACAGACGCACTATAGGTGGCCTTGATTCTCCATGCATGCGCAGAACGATGAGCAGCAGCAGCAGCAGCGGCATACAGACCATAGTCCAGACTATTCATGGAAATGCGCAAAAATGTGTTGCCGCATTTCCATCCATCAGAAAGAACACGTGGCTTGAGAATTCTCTTACATGCATAATCTCGAATGGGTATTCTAGTCTTTCTGTGTATTGTGTTTTTGTTTCCCTAATATATCTCTTGACCTGGGCGGTGGCCGCCGTGCGTCGATTGTTTGCTGCAGTACATGTTCATAGATAATGTGTTGTAGAAGTAGAAGTAAATATGCACAATAGACTAATCTAGACTAGACTTGAGAAAGCGTTGCATCGTTGAGAGAGCAACGTCATGTTACCAATCGATCATTTCGGAGAACGGGGTCAGCGCCCACTATGAAACCTTAAGTACATAGGACCTCCACAGCTCGACGGCGTGCAGTACGCGCCTGTGTTGGGCTGTGACGGCGAAAAAGTTGAGGAGGAAGTCACAGATTGTTCGTCCTTGCAAAAAAAAACAAGGCACACCTCCTTTGCATGGGTATGCATACTTCTATTCATATGCATGCATACGTAAAAAATAACGTAGGCAGCAGTATTATCACCGAAGAGTTCATGCATGCCCGTTCGTACCAAAGCATCCTCTTGTTGCATTTGCTTGAAAGTTTGAGGCCTGCTCTACTCTATTAATATGCACGTTCTGGTGCTGCTCGGCACCTCGTTTCACCACACCCACCATTGATGGGACTACATAGTCTACGTATATCGATGGCGTGTGGCGTGTTGGTATGTGTGTACATGAATGTGCTCGTGCAGGTTCGGTCGGCCACCAAAATGAAAGGCTGCGCGCGCAGCAGCCGCAGGAGGTATCGACGGTCGCGGCCGCCGGCGTTCAGCCTGGCTCTCCCCACACGGATTGTGAGAATGGCTATGGCAATGATGACAGTAGCCATGGCCACGGTCATCGTTGGATTTGTTGAGGCAAAGGACGACGGAGGCGTTGCTGTCCCGGGCGTCGTCATCGGTGCAGTGCCGCCTTCAACAGAGGGGCAACAGCAGTCCCACAGCAGTGTTGGTTCAACCACGACGCATGACAGGTGGGTTAGGGTCAGCTTCGCAAAGGGGGAGAGAGAACGAGAGCGCTGCTTCCTTTCCATGTTGAGTTTGGCAAGTACGCGTAGCGGCAACTGAGCCGCGTTCGAAAGGGGCGGGATTCCTAGATACACGAGGCTCGTTTTTTTTCTTCAGTCATACACGAGGCTTGGAAACAAGGGTTTGTTGCGTGACTTGGCCTTCCTTCCATCAGAACGCACCGTGCGCGCGAGTGTCAAGCTCCGAGAAACACATGCGCTCCTCTTGGGGGAAACGATCACCGTCATCAACGCGCAGAAATTCTAATCTATGCCCGACGCGCGCGCCTCAGGCTTCGCGGTTCCATGACGGTCCCGAGGCCTCGTCTGCTGGAGAGCGATGAGCCATACCCGTGGACAGGGGCGGGAGGAAAGTTCGGGCTTACTTCAGACTGGAGAGAGGCCGCCATGATGCCTGGTGCGCGAGGGGGGGAGGCAACGATGAGAGGGGATAGCTGCATGGGAGATGCGAAACAGCGGCAAGTGCGGGAGATCTTGGAGAGGAGAGCCAAAACTCCCGGTACTAGCAAGGTGTGGACGTGTTTCAGCTCGCACACACGCCTTGAAGACGTTGTGCAGGCGATCAGACCAACACCACCATCACCCGCGAGCACATATTGTCTGGGGTTGATTCCGACCGACATTATTAATAGTTGCTTAGCTTGCACGTAGGGGGAGAAGGGATGGGATGCAAGGAGACCGGACCACAAGTCGGACAATGATCTTCCAGGGTTGCTGCTCTGGCCTACAGTAAGTAGGGCACTGTCCTTTTAACGTTTGCCGCGATACCGGCCCAACCTCGTAATACAACCTGATGATGTACGAGTCCTCCCTTAGCGTTTGGGTAAAAGATGGGGTCCAATAGGTATCTTCTTGTGTACCAGCAAGCAAGCCCGCATTTCATTTGCCATAGATTTGTGTGCTCTACGAAAGATTTGAAACGTCTCCTTCCAGAGAAAGCAGACGAAGGTTGCCATGCCACGGAAAACTCTGCTCAAAGTGGGCGGCGTACGAACTAT